AATAACGAGTTGCAGTAGATCACTGCCGCTCCCTGAGAGTTTTTCCTTCCCACTGTTACCAAGTGTTTGCTCAGTGGGTCATGTGATTGTTGCAGTCTATTATAGTAGGGTCTTTACCTTACAGTATACATTGAATTGAGATGACTGTTGTTATGATTCGCCTCACCAGCAGTTATTTGATCTGTGATTACTTGAAGTTGCTGAATGTAATTGACTGCCAGTGATCGCTCTGGTCACCGCATTGGTGTTAGTTGCTGTTTAGACTCTCTTACGCTACACAGGAGTGCTGAACAGCTCCATTTTCAGAGGGAAAAAAATCTGTCACCACAGTCTCATGTCTTGAAGACAACCTGCAGTGAATTCTTTGCTCGGAATAAATAAGATTTGAATATTGGTTCTAGTGGATATTCAAATATTTTGGACTGTTTTTCAATGCACTTTTCCAGCATATTCACAGTTTAATATGCCAAATAGTCAAACCACAGCAGGAACTAAGTATCAGGTCTGTCTGAGGCCAGCTGAATGACAAAAGCTGCTTCGTGTCCATATGTATAGAGGAATGTAAACAAAGCATAATGCTCCATGTGATTAGGAAGCATCCAGAGGCTGGTATGATTTAGATGAACAGATAAATGCTCAGAGTCTTTAGACGGAGCATGGAAAATTGGGAGATGGGTGTAGAGAGATAAGGGAAGCAGCGCAGCACTCTGCAACAACATGTAAAGCTAACACAGACAGCCCAGTTTTGCTTTCCCACGGGATGTACAGTAGGTCCCACTGAAAGACACACACACACACACACACAAATATAGTCAAAAACACAGAGATCCCATCTGCCCCAGCGTTTTAATCAGCTTATCACTCCCAGGGCCATTCAGAACGACTATATCAAGCTCTGACATACATTAGCGGTACTACAGGGATCAAGCGATATACAATCCTCACTGCAATACTCCTCACGTCACACACGTAGTCACACACGCAGTCACACACGTCCAGCACAGTTGTGCATTCATTTGGCCTTAAGTATGCGTGCAATGAAAACATGGATCCCAAAAGGATTGAAAACATCATCTGTGTGTAAGCGCCACAAAAGTCATCAAACATGCTAACGCACTCACACAAATACAAACTCTGTGCGTGTGCTTGTGTATTCTGACATAGTGCCAAAGCCCAGCTGATCTCTCAGTAAATATGGACATATGGTCAGCCAGAGTGGGGAGAGAGGTAGCATGAGGATGACACAGAGATGGTTCTTCGTGTGTTTTCATTTGTCTGTGGGGAGACCACAGCAGGGGGAGACATCTTATCCTCTCGAGACATGTGTTGCTCTCCCAAAGCTGAAGTGCTTAGCCTTTTTGGACTCTTTACATCAGCCCATACCACCAAACCCTACCTCACCCAGAGGAACAGGTCAGAGGTGTCCGCTCTTGGTTACGTAACTACTCTATTATGGAATGAAAACAAGGGAATTGTTGTGCCAGACTGAGGGGCTTGTTATGTAAGGCCCAGAAGATGTGATGCAAGATGATCAGCTTGGAATACTTCCTGGCAGCTGAAGTCAACCTGTGACCTCTGTCTTTCTTTCTCTATATTTGTCAAAAACCCAGGGCTGCTGCCCTGTTGTCCTTTTTATTAAAGAAAATTAATCAGTGTAGTTAACTTTTCAGATCTTTTATCTAGCTCTTCTCGTAAAAAAGTGCAAACACAGTGACAACAAATTTTGAAAAATAAAGTAAAACAGACTTAGAGTGGCACTCACGTGTGACCTAAAAGTCAATTTAGCAGAAGAACAGATTAAAGTTACAGAAATGACTTAGTTCTTCTTTCACAATGCTATAATGGCACCACATAGAGAAATTAGCAGCACTAGCTTGACAAACCGACCAACTGCTAATATCCTTGTGAATGTAGAGGGCAGAAAAGCATGCTCAATCATATTACTCTCTGTTGATTTGATCAAAATTTGGCTAAAATTAGCACTGAATTTGGATGACAAATGCAATCCAGTAACATCCACCTCCCAGTAATCCTGTCCCTACTCTTCAGAAGATCCATCCATCCATCTTCTGGTTATCAGGGGCCAGGTCGCAGGGGCAGCAGCCTAAGCAGAGAAGCCCAGATATCGCTCTCCCAGCCTCCTCCTCCAGCTTGTCCAGGGGATCATCAAGGCGTTCCCAGGCCAGCAGTGAGATATAATCTCTCCAGCATGTCCTGTGTCTGCTCCAGGGCCTCCTCTCGGTGGGACATGCCCGGTACACCTCGCCAAGGAGTTGCCCACGAGGCATCTTGTCAGATGCCCAAACCACCTCGACTGGCTCCTTTCGATGTGGAGGGGTCCTGGGTGAGGGACCAGACAAAGAGCGACTCAGAAGACCCCCTATGAGCAGAACACCAGGGATAGGTAGATAGAAAGACCCTGGATAGGGTTACTGGGCCCTGCCTTGGAGCCAGGCCCGGGGAGGATGAGCCCATGTCCCCAAATACGGGACATGGGCTCATCCTCCTGCAGGCCCACCACCAGCATTGTGAGCCGGGCGGCGACCAGGAGTGGAGGCCCTGGCAGACCGAACCCCGGCTACCAACACTGGCAATTGGCACATGGAATGTCACCTCTTCAGAATATGATGTACGTACTGGACCTGTGGCATCTACAAACCAAGTTGTATTTTGCTAATATTATATCACTGAAAGTACTATTAGCTAATATTGTAAGTAGCAACAAAGTAGCTGGGCAAACCATAACCAAGCTAGCATAACTAGCTAAAATAACTAACATTATTGGGATGGAAGAAGCATTTGTAACAATGTGGCATTACTTCAGTGTTTATAGGCATTCTGTAAATTAGGCACATCATTAATTAAGGCTATCGGCTATCTTATTTTTTATTTCAGATGTCTGTTCAACTGAAATAATTACATTCTGATGGTGTCAACTAAGCCTGTCATACAGTATCAACAGCAATTGGTCAATGGGTTTGTTTTTCATTTTAAAGAGCTGGTTGTTGAAAACTAACAATGTGCTGACCAAATGTTGACTAAGTTAGCCTCGGGCTAGTTTTCTCTAATTTAGCATGAATGATCACCTGGATTCAAGATAAACCGATCAGAATTTGTTGTTCAAAGGTCAAAGTCGGTTTAAGTTAAGACTTGCCCCACTCTTATTTCAGAAAATAAGATCACAGAACATCTGATACAACCAAATACTTACAAAATGAAGACTCAAATAATAACAGAATTTCAAGCAGATGTCAAACAAGTGTTGACATTATATCCAATGATATGGTTCCCAAAGTTCTGCAAAAACACTTCTGGTCATTCAGCAAAAAATAAAGGTTTTTATGATTGCATTTCATATTTGGTTGGTGCTCACCTTTCTTCTACACTATAATGACACACATGACTAGTTGCTGGAAACGTTACCCGATTCCTCGGTAGTAACATTTCCATTGTAAATTAACTTACTGCGATTTAAAGGAATACCCAGCTGTTTTGACCAAGTTACCGTATGCTCAGAAGTCCATTCAATTCTCGCACAAGTCTTTACCCCAATTTTCTTTCTTGTTATTTAGCTCCATTCACAGGCTTCTCTGTGGTGCTCTTCCATCTCTGAGCCCTTGACTTTTGCGATCCATTGGTCAGTTAGATTTTCTACTTCTCTCCTTCCAGCTCAGTGTTGCTTGCTGTTCATCAGAGCTGCTTGGGAAATGAAGCAGGCTGCTGTCGTGATGCCCAAACCCAGGTTCCAGGCAGCAATATTTATCATTTGCAACAAAGTTCCCCACTTCATCACACTTCAACTCTCTAGCCACCCACACACTAAAAACCAGTCAAGAGAATGTCAATCAAAGCTATGTTTTGGCAGACATAATGAATGAGACCATACCAGGGTTTGAAAGGACTGGTTTCAGGCATGAAACAAGAACCTCAGTCCAGCTGTTTGAAAATGCCATAACACAGACATAAGAAACCAGAACTACTCATCTGAAGTAGTGTTTGATCTGAAGAGTTGGTCTGGAGGGGTGATGAAATTATAGTTTACAGTGAACTGGATCCCAGACTGTTCAAAAACCCAGGATGGTTGAGTTGAAACTAAATGTTATTCCTTACAAAACATATTAAAGCAAGTTTATTCATCATTAGTACAAAATATTCTTACACTTCAGGGCTTTGACACTGCATCTTGCCTGAATTGTTGAGTATATTTAATATGTTCTGGAAACTCTCTGCAGCTTTAGGATCAAACACTTATGTGATAAAATAAATCTATCAATTACAAATACCCTAACAAGTCCACAACTGAGTTCTTAGTCTTTAAAGCGCACAACTCTCGAGAACATACATCTTGCACCACATGCATGTTTATTTCAAGTCAGTTGCAGTGGAATCAAACAATAACAGAATCACTGAGGAGTGTTTCAGGCTACTCCAGCATGAGCCACTTCTCTGCACGTGTCCTTTGATCCATAAAGCACTAAGCTTTTCGGTCACCTTCCAAACCCCAAAAGCAGAGATTCTGGAGTTAGATGGAGTTTCAGCTTTTGATTGCAAAGCTGCTGCTAGAAATGGGCCCCTTTCACACTGCCTCCCCTTAAATAAAGCAGTTTAAAGACCTAAAAGGTCCAGATCTCTGAAAAAGGTGTCACAAATGGCACAGTGAAGGAAAGTCAGACTTTATCTACACTGCAGTTTGTTCCGTCTCACTAAATATCCGTTTCAGTACTTTTGAGTAAAAACATAACAGTAGCTCCTAACCTGGTGTTACTGATTACAACTTGCTCAGCAACTTTGTGCTGATGTCAGATTGCCATGTGTCAATTATTCATGTTGAAATATAATTTAAAGCAGACCTGCTTCAAATGAACTGAGCTGGACTCGGCAGCAGCCCATCATAAACACCAAATAAATCAGAGGAGTGACTGTTTGGAGCCATACGCTGGAAGCACCACCATCTGCCTTAATATTTAGAGAGAAATAAAGAAAAACCACGAAGAGTAACGTAATTGAACATTTTGTTTTTTTTATTAACTGCTCAGAATACACCATGGTAAAGCATTTTCCATCTCTCATCTCTTGAAGATTCTTTGGGCATTGAGTGATGGACTCAACAGCATACTTTGTTCACCACCGTCACAGCTCCTGTGTTCTCGTCTGAGGAAACGTGACCGCCACTCACACTGCTGGATAGCTTACGAAGGCAGTAGATGCAGAGGAGAACTCGAGAGAACTCACACAGGGTGAGGGAGGAGACAGACCTCTTGTTCCCAGACAAACAGGAAGTTGAATAAATACACAACAGTCTCACTTTCTGTGCTCCCCACAGAGAGACAGGTGCAACATTCACACTTTGCATTTGTCTCCTTCCTGGATTTAACTGTCATCCTACATATACTGTGATTCTAGTAAACACCATCAGATTGCACTTAAGAACAGAGATTGAATTCTGTACACAAAGTCATCCAATATTAAAAAATACATTAAATTACATTTTCCAAATAAATATTGGTCCATTTTGTTAGTATGCCATCTTCCTGAGACACTTTCAGAGCCGCAGACATATTCATACAGCAAAGGTAGCTTTTCTTTTGATCCATGAGTATTCTCTTTTCAGTCTTCCTTTCATCCATCTTTTCGTTTTTCCCTCCAATTTTTTCCCCACCCTGGAGGCTAAATATCTTTGTCATGTTACACTTACTTCAACCGTCTACATGTGAGCTCATCCTTCATCATATGACTTGCTCTCATACGTGCAGGGACATACACAGCAAACTGATTTCTCGGGCTGCACCAGCACAGCGTGAGCCACGATGTGAGAAAGTGTTGCGGATGCGCACAATTAGAAGACGTTGCACTCCGATATACAGACAGCACTAACTGTAATTGACCTGAACGTGAGTCAGTGCAGCAAACTTCTGTGCAAGGAAGACGTGTGCTTGATGACATACCCTAAAATATAATGTATACGAATGATTCACTTGCATGCTGACACAAACGTGTATAATAACAGTCCAACAGCCTAAAAGGTTTTTGAAAACAAAAAAAAACAAAAAACAGGAATATGATCGTAGAAGCTTTTTGTGTGAAAAAGTTTCACAGTATCAACGTGGTTTTCTTCCTGGCTTGCTCAGTGGCAGTCTGCCTTTGTGCCAACACACACACACACACACACGCACGCACGCACGCACACAGAGTACCTTTACATAAGGAGACCCTATCGCAATTATCCTCTGCCTTCATCCTCACCATTCTCTGACTATTATTGCTTTCAATACCAATATTGTTATACAAGACCTACAAAAGGGGGGGGGGGGTGCATCTTCCGCTGCAAGTACTGACTTGCAGCCCAGTTCTAAACATCTGATGTGAAATTCCGAGAACAAAAAAGAAAGTCTTTACAGGAAACACATCAACTGCAGGACTATCCGTATCTGTAACGTAAGGCAGCAAAAGATGAACAAACAGGAGTCCGAGTCCCTCACGGTCTATACGTTAGAGACGGCGTTGTTAGAATCTCTCGCCTGTCGGATGCCGTACAGCCACTTGATGACTCGAGCGTTCCTCTCGATGACAGAGATGCCATACGGGACCCGCTCGCTGGCCCTTGACGGACCGTCGTCTTCGTCGTCCTCGTCCTCCCTGACCCGGTCGTCCCCACACTCCGAGCTGGGCGTGCTAACGCTTCGGAGCTTGGAGACTGACACAATGTCTGAGTTGGCCCTCGTGAAGCGCTCCACCCCGCCCATTCCCTCCACCTCCTCGGGGTCTAACCCGCAGTAGTTAAAGAAACGCTCCAGGTCAGCTGTGGCACGGGAGTAGCGGTCACTCAGGTCCGACTTGGAGCGGTGCAGTGATGGGTGCTTGCGGGCAGACCCTTTGGAGCTGGCGTTTGAGATGCGGGTGAAAGCGGGTGAGGCTGGAGGGATCATGCCTGCTCGGACTAGCATTGGACTGGGTGGCAGGTAGGCTGAAGGAGCGGGGATGGCTTGGGATGACTGAGGGAGGGGTTGCGGTTGATTCTGGGAGGGGGGAGGGGGTGACGGGGGTGGGACTTGGGGGTGTGCGACTTGGCCCTGGGGTGTCTGTCTGGGCCTGAGCTGTGGCTGCAGCTGAGCTCTCTGGGGCTTCCGTATCTCAGCATGAGGCCGAACGTCCACCCTGCGTACTGTCACCGAGTTAGGGGAGCTGTAGGGAACTGGAACGCCAAAGCGGGGTGCGCGAGCTGGCACAGGGGGTGGACGTCGAGTCACTTCTGCTGCCACCGTCCGAAGATGATTGTTGAGTGGAGAGGAGGTGCAGGAGGAGGTGGACGATGAGTTGGCGAGGGCGTGATTCAAAGGTTTGAGGTTGTTGGAGAGTCGGCTGCTCCTCTCCTGCTCTCCTGAAAGACTGCTACTGATGCTCTTAGCTCCCGATGACGGAGATGACGAGGAAGGGGAGGTGGAGGAAGAGGACTGGGAACAATGTGATGGTCCATCACATACGTCATTGATTAGGTTATTTAGAATATCCAAGTTTAGAGCAGGTCGTCTCCTGTCTCCTGCTCCCTGCCTGCCTGCAGTGTTCTCCCCCTCAGCCGGCGATCGGTTAACTTTCCGGGCTGGAGGGGTGTTGATCATCATCCCTGAAGGGACGAGGGGCTTGCGGATGATTGGAGGCTGGATGGGGGCCTGGCGGGTGAGTGCCACCTGCTGGCTTTTAACATACTTGGCCTTGTCGGCCTCCAGGCGCTCCACGGCGCTCAGTTTGCGGGCCCCGGGCTCAGCCTGTCGGCGGAAATAATCCGGACCCTTATTGAGTATCCTGAAAGGCATGGCAGAGGTAAAGGGGCCCCCGGCCAGACGGCCATCTGAGGGCCGCAGGGTCTCCACTGGCATTCTGCACGAGCTGGACAGAGAAAATAGAGATTTTCCATGAGTTACAAGTAATTGGAACATAAAATAATTCACTTGAATGTGAAAACAGTTTTACAGCTTCATGGTCAGACACTAGCTGACAGGAGGAGAGGCAGGCAAGCACCTGGCTTTAATGGTCAGTGAACATCCTTTTAGAGCTCCCACACATCCTCTCTAAGCTTAAGGGAAACAAAAAAAGGGTTCTTTTGTACTCTTTTTCACCCCACTCCTCCCCCTCTCACACCCGTGCTCTCAGAACCCCGTTTAACTTCCTTACCGGTCGCTGTGCTGCTCCTCTGCCTTTCGTCTGTCCTCCACGACACCTCTCTTGCACTTTTATTTGTCCCTTTTCCCAGTCCGGGCTCAGTGAAAGGCTACTTGCGAGACAGGGTCAGTTGGGGTCAGATCCTCCACACCAGCCTTGTGCAGACCACCTCTATTAACTCAGCTGTGATCCAGAACAGTGAGAGACTGTGGGTCAGGGTCAGTCTTTTTCTTTTGTTTCTTTAAATCCAAAAGGCAAGTCTTGTAGATCAGTCGCCAGTTACTCAGACAACACCACAGTCTCTCTGATCCTCTTTACAATCCTCTGTTTAGCCCCAGCCCGCCTGTCCAGTTGTGATCAGATCCAAAAAGCCGGCCGGCAACTCAGCAGGAGCGCCCTGTAGTCCTGGAGAGGGTTAGAAAGAAACAAGTCCAAGTCAGATAAACCTCCACTTTCTTTCCACCGCTTAATACCATAACGCATCCACACATACTCTCTCTTTTTCACACATGCACGCACACTTCTCTGGCTGACAGACGGGGACTCTCTTTAACACTGAAGTGGAGCAGACAGGACAGGCTTTAATACAGAGTCTGGCTCCTCCCAGCCAGCCAATCGCATGTCGCCGGGAGACTCGGAGGGGTACAAGGGGCGGGCTGGGAGGCGAGAGGTGTGCTCGCATTGGCTAGGCTCAAAGGAGATCCTGACCAATTGGGCCCCTCCCCCTGCCTTTCAAGCACAACAAAACTGAGGCAGGGCTTTCATTCAAATGAAAATTCTTTGAAAGGGAGAAAGGGGGGAGAGAAAGGGGACGGTGGGGGAAAAGAGGGGCACCGCAGATGCAATTTTTACATTGACTTGCATCAAGCTCAGTGGGGTGCTATGAAAACATGTGAAAAAAAAACAAAAAAAAAAAACACTGAAAGCCTGCACAACTGTTCCTGCTGCTGAGCTCTTTGTGTGGCTGTTAGTGTGTTTGCATTTTAGCCTAATGAAGACAAAGTAGATGAAGATCACCGAAACCAAACCTGATTCAGCTTTTAAAAAAAAGAAAGAAAGAAGAGAAAAATAGTGTAAGAACAAAGTTTAAACAACTGGGAACTGGGACAAAGTTTTTCCTCTGCCGGAGCACAATTAACTTGTGGATTATTTCTCTCAGTTTCAGGGCTTTAAAACACTGCTAACACACATGCTGTTCATTTATTTCCCCCTTCAATTCCACAGAAAAACAAAAAAAAACAACCCCACTCTCCCCCTCCTCCACACCTCTTCCCTGCTGCATGTTATCATTTACAGCCTTACACTCCAGGGTTACATCACATCCAGATAGACGGCACGGTGCGTCCCCTCCCCCACCTCCACCTCTTCTCCAGCACGTCTATCCACACATTTTTAATTAATCTTTTTATAGCCGTCTTCCTTCCCTGTCTCCCTCAACATGTGACCCTGTTTTTCCCCAAAATCTCGCCCCGTCTGACTCCCTCTTCACGCTCACATCCACAAACAGCAGACCAGCAGCAGACGAGAGAGAAAAACTGACAGCTTACACTTAAAAAGAAAAACGCACACACACGCTTAGCTTTCATCTTGTAACAGACCAAAGAAGAGTTTAAAATAGCCTACCTCAAACTACTCAAACTAAACACTTTTGCAGCACAAAAATAAAAACAGAAAGAAAAGAAAAAAAGATTCCCAAGCATGAGTGAGACGACCTGAAGCTTCTGCACAAAGCCTTTGGGAATATATGCATTCAGGGGATGGAACAAAAAATAATAATAAAATAAAGAGTCTTTCATGAAAAACACAATACAGAGAAAGCTTGAAGTGAGCGCAACGTAGGAAAAGAAAGGAGAGGTGGATTAGCGGACAGAAAGTCACGAGATGACGTCAGCACAGACTTGTCTTGGTGTCCTAAAAAAGCTCAAACCACTGCAGGGAAGCAGCTCTACTGTATTTTTTCCACATGTTCATCCTTATCATAGCGCTCAATGCAACTTAACACGGTTAAGCTTTAACGCACAACACGTCCAGTTATGTGACACCATGGTGGCGCTCCACCCGCTAATGTAAATGCCTGCAGCGCACAACAGTAAATACACTGAAGACCACAACCCACCTGGAGCCACTCACACACTCCCCGTCACTGTGCTGATTAGCACTTTCATCTGACTGTGTAAGTTGAGGAATTCGCCATAAAACATATGTAAAACATCACTGATCTGCTGCTGCATGTGGATCTCTTTCTTTCACATTGTTGTTTTCCTACATTCATCATCCTCACGACAAACTAACTAGTAGTTTAACAGCTAAAAGGTTAAAAGGTTTCAGGTAATTATAGAATTTCTTGTCCCTGAATCTACTCAAAGAAACTCATCTTAGAGAAAATGCTTTAACAGAAACGGTGAAGACAAACGTTAGGTCACAGAAACCTCAGCCACCTCGGTTTTAGTATGCTGTGGCCTTGTCATTACACTTACACAGCCCTCTGCCAAGAGGAGGAAAAAACACACCTCCTTTGCTCCAGATTTAGAGTCTTTTCATGTCTTTAAAAACACTAATTTCTGTAAGAACTGCCAACCTTTGCTGGAGTATTTGTTCTATTTCACTGTGTCCCAAAATGTCCAGCCAAACGGCTTGTGATCCAAAGTCTACACATTTTGTCTTTTTAAAGCGTGGTTATTGATTTCTATCACTCCTAATGACTAACATACACTTATACACAATTACTGGTGTGAACAAATCCCACAGACACAAAGGGGGCAGGAGATCCCTGTCACACCAGCATAAACCCACCTCTGCTGATAACTCTAATCCCCTGATCCACCCTTTATTCAGTCTTTTTGTTATCATTCTGCGCTCAACAGTTTGTGCATTGATATTGTTAGTGAAGGAGAACGAGTTCCAACAACTGACAACAATTATCGTCAAGCTGCTAAATGAATTCCCTCTTCATGGAGATTAGATTTGCTTTAACTATGTAAATGTTAACCCAGTTACTCTCCTTCCTTTGAGCCTGCCAATGAGAAGAGTCGTCCACATGCAAATACTGTGAGCCTGGATAGTCACTACTTTAAAAACAGCAGCTATTGTCATTCATCTTCTCCAGTGAAAGGGGTCAGATGGCTAAAAGCCGCTCTGCTAATGGGACTAATGTGTGTGCAAACGGCACCATTAAGCCTCTCGTCCCCACCGGTCCACGAGTTGAGCGTTGCAGCAGCGCTCAGTCTCGTTTCTCTTAACTTTTCTGCCTCTCGGTTTCCGTTCATGTTCTGTAACTGCAGTTGATGATGTCTCCAAAAAGGCAAAGGGCCGAGGAATGATATTCCTATTCCTCAATGGAAACTTGCGCATTGTGATTATCATCACAAAACTATGCAAACCGCTGAGTTGTTATGAATCGGACTGTTTTTACGTTCAGTTTTCTAACCACCATATAAGTGGCCAACAACATGGTTTATGATGTCTGCATGAGAGAGAGAGAGAGACTGCGTTTCATGGCGTGTGAGTGACTGTGGGGGGTGAATAACAGAATGTTTGAAATCAAAGAGAGAAGCCCAAAATGTCTGCGTGCACAAATGTTGTAAAGCAGCTGAAAGGAAACAGTGACTGGCATTTTACCACAGCTGACTTGACCGTGCCGCCGGCTTAAGTGTAATTACAGAGAGAGCCCATGAATGGGAGCAATTTGCTTCGCCAATATTTTCTAGCAAGTTACTGAATAAGTAGCAGCTCGTGAGGAAACGGGTTGCAGTAGGAGGGTGGGGGAGGAGGAAAAAGGAAAAGGTGAGAATAGGCAAGATTAGAAAATATATAATAGCAGAGAAAACAAGAGAAAGCCCAACTAAGAGAGATAGTGTCAACCTCCCATCCAGGGTGAGCCTCACAATAAGAATGAATCATACTGAGTCTTAAACAGTTCCTGATGCTGACTCAAAGTCATAGTGCAGCTCCATGCGATACTATTCAAATCCTTCCGTTTTTGAGCCTGTCAGCTTTACCCCAGCATGGAAGGAAAGAGGTGGTGAGTTCATCAACAGTGACTACTCAGCTGCTTCACCCACTGGAGGGATGAGCAGGAAGCCGGGATTTATTTCACAACAGAACGTGAGTGGGAAAGAGAAAAACCAAACAAACGTCCTCGGCTGGAGTGTGGGCAATTCCCGCAGGTTGACCCTGTTTCGCGGTGAACTTAGCTCATCTATTTCTGGACACTTGGAGTTTCCCGATTTGCTCCTGAAGCCTGTGAACACCCGACTGTCAACTGCAAGGAAGCCCACATGGAAATGCTGCACTACAATCCAAAGTGTTCAGGAAGGGGGAAAAAAGCAAAACAAACAATGCTCCATGCTCATAGAAACAAATAATGAAGTCAGTGAGTGGGTAAGTGATCTAGTGAGCCAAAAGTCACATGCTTCAGACTGCTCAGGCAGTTTTTTTTCTGCTCCTAGCTCTGTAGATGACTGAGCGCACTTATCCCTGATTTAGTTATAACTAAATCATTCACCTGCTGTGCAAACCTGTTTGCAAGTTAAGCCAAAGGAAGGTCTACAGAGTTATAGTTTATCTATTTGGACCAGACCTGAATTTATCTGTACCAAAACCCAGTTCAACAAAAGGTCAAGAAACGGGACAGTAAGCAAGATGGATCGTATTAACAAATCTCTCATCTCAGTGCAGGGTTCAGCTGGTGTCCTCCCTGTGGCTTCCAGATGAACGATAACCTGATGAGAATCAGACCAAGCTTGGACAGAAACTAATGCAACACAAGCCCCTGCCCATTATCCCACTGGGACACTCAGCTTCAGTTTTTAAAAATCAATAGAGAGCTTAAAAGAAGGGTTCAAAAAGTTATCAACCACTCCCCTTAGGGCTGATTTAGGGAGCTCCAAAGAATGATAATGAAGACAGACAGTTGGTCGTGACAGCGTCAGACCTTGCTGTTATTCTGTTGAGCGGCTATCAGCTTCAGCCACGTTGCTTGTTTCCAACTGAAGAACTGCTCCTGGCTGGATGGACTGACATGCATGACTGAAGTGTCTGGACAAGGTTATGCAACTGTTTTTATACGGACAGAAGTCGAGTCGACTGCAAAAACAACCACTGAACCATAAACCGACAGTTATTATAGCATCCAGCTCGTCTTTTTTCCCCTGGATCTCCCCGCTTCTGTCAATCCATCCGTCCGTCTCCCCTTAAACCCCCTCCTCCACCTCTGCCCATATCTGTCTGTGTCTGTGGCCCCAGGAAACGCACACATCCATGTACAATTACACCAGAGGGGGGAAAATGGAGGTCAAACCAATGAACTCTTGTGTCTGTGTGCCTGTGTGTTCACGTCAGGAAGAGAGTTTTGACTGAGTAGGTAATCACAGGAGAGCAGGTGGCTGAGTCCTCCCTTGGGAAAACTAAGCCAAGCTGTGAAGACAAATACAGAACATCTGTGATGTGTCCACATTTGTAAAATAAAGGGAAAAAATAGATATAGGGATCATTTGAGTGCAGTAAGTAGTAAGAACAGTGTGTAAAGTGTATGCAAAGAAGATGATAAGAACATTAACGGGTA